GTCATCTGCTTTAAGTTTCTAGAGTTTGAGTACAAGGGAGAAGGGGAACAAAAACAAAAGAGGAAGGTGATGGAATGGTAAAAGTTATAACTGGGCCAGTCACTGACAGTTCAGGAACAAACATCCACTGACTGTCTGAATTAACTCTAATCACACACTAATGGCAAGATAAAAGACAGACTCACCTGTAACCATGACTAGGTTACAACAGGCAACCAATATTTATCAGGCAACTACTGCGTGCCTGGCACAGGGACACAGTGAGATACAGTCTCTGCCTTCATGCAGCTTCCAGGGCAGGAGACAAGTGGAGAAGTTCTTAGTTCTAGTGCTTGTGGCAGTGTCTTCCAAGAGCGAAGGCACCTGGTTTCCGTGGTTTCCTACAGCTCAGCCTTACAGTCTTCAGGATGGCTACAGGAGCCTTACAATGGTGGTTAATCTGACGGCAGCTCGGCTTATTTAAAAATTATAGAAAATTCAGACCTATTTACTCTATCAGTGAGCGACATGCTTATATCTTAAAAAAGTTTTTGTGGACGGCCAGTTAGCTCAGTTGGTTAGAGTGTGGTGCTAAAAGTTTGTATAGTGTCTTTTGTATGCCAAGATTTTGGGAGGAAGTCAATAATTAATATTCTAGAAATTTCTACAAACTATTGGGGAACACAAATAAGGATATAGGAAATGATATTGGAGTGTGATGAATATTGTGATGGGTAATCTGGACTGTTGTGGAGATATGTAGAGACCATCTCAGGGGGTTAGCAGGGATTTAGAGAGTAACTGCCATCCAAGCTGAGCCTAAGAAAAAACATGGAATTAAGCAGTCAAATGAGGTAAGCAGAATAGCACTTCAGGCAGATAGAACAGCCCAGCCAAAGGCTCTGATACAAATGAGAACACAGAGAAGTACAAGTGTCAGAGTGACTATGGGACAAAAGAGGTGGAGGTGAGGAGATGACAGCCATGAGTTTGGAGAAATAAGCAGGGGCCAGACTATGAAGGACCTTCTATGTCATCTTAGGGAACTTAGAATTTATCCAGACAAAAAGAAGGAGCCCCTGAAAAGTTTACCAGAAGGAAACCACAGTACAAGATTTGTGTTTTATGTCTATTACTCTGGCTGAGATGTAGGGAAAGGATTAGAGACAAGATTAGAGATAGAAAAAAAATAGTTAAAATAATGTTAACTTTGAATAATGTGTATGGAGCCAGTTATAGGGAAATAATTCTCATCAGTATTCATTTGTATTATAAAAATATTTAAGTGTATACAGACAAACTATATATAACATCTTTTTGGTTATAATTTTTATATAACTATAAAACCAACAGATTGAATACCAAATTATAAATTAAATACCAACCAAATAAAAAAATAAAATTCAAAGTAAAAACATTGATATGATAAATGGTGTTGTTTTGTTAAAGTATGTCCCATTAAGTTTTGGGTTAGAAAGATATATATTTTGATATTTTTATGTTTCACTTGTTTGCTTGATTCTTTTTATTAATATGATGTGCCATCATTTGTGTCATCATATTAGTTGCAGATTTCTTTTTCCTTTTTTATTATAGAAACAAATTAATTTTAAATGACCAATCTCTTATTTATTTCAGGATATTATGGGCGTAAAAACATTTTGGTTACATGTTATGACTTTGCCACACCCAAACTATGATTTAAGGAGTGGCTTTTCCCCCCTACAATGCTCACTGTGTCCATTAGTTGTGAGTTTACCCACCTCCAACCCCCCAATCCCTGAGGAATATTACTACCGTGTGAGCACCATAGTGTTGATCAGTTAATGCCAATTTGATGGCAAGTACATGTGGTGGCTATTCCATTCTTGATACCTCACTTTGGAGGATGGACTCAAGCTCTATCCAGGAAAATATAAGAAGTGCTAAATCACTGTTGTTTCTCATAATTCAGTAATATTCCATTGTATACATATACCAAATTTTATTAATCCACTCATGGATTGATGGGCACTTGGGTTGTTTCCACATCCTTGCAATAGTGAATTGTGCTGCCATAAACATTTGAATGCAGATGTCTTTATTCAAAAAATCAACAAGAAAAAATCAAATAACCCCATCAATAAATGGGCAAAAGACATGAACAGAAACTTTTCAAAAGAAAACAGAATAATGGCCAGCAAACATATAAAAAATGCTTAACATCTCTAGTCATTAGAGAAATGCAAACCAAAACCACAATGAGATATCACCTACCCCAGTGAGACTGGCCTTTATCAAGAAATCCCCAAACAACAAATGCTGGCGAGGATGTGGAGAGACAGGAACACTCTCACTCTGCTGGTGGGGCTGCAGATTAGTGCAACCTCTGTGGAAAAGAATTTGGAGATATCTCAAAGAGCTAAAAATAGAAATACCATTTGATCCAGCAATAGCACTATTAGGCATCTACCCAAAATTATTATATAACAGTATATTATGGTATACATGTGATTTATATAACTATTATAAATATGTAAATATGTCATTATATATTAACATATACCATAATATAATGACATAACTCTACATATTTTATATAATAATATAAATATGGAAACTATCTCCTAATTTCTTCCCTGCTTTGACTCTTGCCCTTTGCCTCTTTATTCTCCATACAACATCTAGAATGGTCTTTTGAAAATAAAAGTATGATCATGTCATTCTTCTGCTCAAAACTGACTTTCCATCTTTCCAGAAGCAAAGTGTGTCCAGAAAAACTTTGCATAATCTAGCCCCTAGCCACCTTTCCCCCCTCATCTCAAGGCATAACCTTTCCTGTCACTCTCCACACCCACACAAGGCAGGCTCCTTCCTCGGGACCTTTTCTGCAGATGTTCTCTCTGTCTTGGATGTGCTCAGTGCTTTCACTTTGTTCATGCCTCTGCCCAAATGGCACACAGTACAGAGGCCGTCTCTTCTTTTATGAGCTAGAGCATCACTCCTTTTCCCCTAGTAGAGTGCCGTGGCATCAGCCTAGCCCACAGCAACCTCAAACTCCTGGGCTCAAGTGATCCTCCTGCCTCAGCCTCTCGAGTAGCTGGGACTACAGGCATGCGCCACCATGCCCGGCTGACTTTTCTATTTTTAATAGAAACAGGGTCTCGCTCTTGCTCAGGCTGGTCTGAAACTCCTCAGCTAAAGCAATCCTCCTGCCTTGGCCTCCCCAAATGCTAGGATTATAGGCGGGAGCCACCGTGCCCGGCCTAGAGGCCATCTCTGACCATTCTACCTAAAGTAGACTCCTCTATCAGTCTACGTTCCCCTGTCCTATTCCTCTGTCTTAATAGCTTTCATCACTATCACTATCCTAAAGTATAATGTATATCTATTTTGTTTCTTTGTTTTCTGTTGCCCATTTAGGACAGGGTCTCTTTTTACTTTTATTTTTCATGGATGTAGTCACAGTGCTTCTTAGAATGGTGCATGGCACAGAGCAGGTGCTTAATAAATATTTGTAGAATTAATGAATCAAGATCTCTATTTTAAGCTTCTTATAGCTCCCTATTTACAGCCGTATCATAACAATTTAAAAACTATGTCTTAATTGGAAGTTGTTTTCTCACTTATTAGACCATGAGCCCGTAGAGGGAAAAGACCATAACATTCATCTCTGATTTTCTAGTGTTTCATAAGTGTGTACCCAGTGAATTAATGATTACTTGTTCTCATCATTCTCTACAGAAGCAATTTAGGGATACATTGGTGTTTCCCCAATGCATTAGGCCAATAGAGATACTGGGCATTGTCACGACAAGCTATGTGGCACTGGGTACAATACAGCCCATTTTTGGTTTGGAAAATAGTTGATTGGTATTTAGGAACTATACGAAATATTAGACTATGATTTTATAGCTTAAAAATGCAATTTCTTCTATGGCCAAAAACATGCAAAGACAATATTGGAACATCTTAGATTTTGTAGAGTTCAACATTAGTGACATCTAGTCAGATGACTGACTTACACATGATGAAGCGGAGGGCCAGAGAGGTGGTGCTACTTTCCTGAATGGTGACAAATTCAGAGCTAAAGGTAGGATACCTGATTGCAGTCCAGTTCTTTTCATGGTGCGTCATTCTTCCGTACGTTACTCTATTTTCTTCATCTTGGTTATCACCTCTCCTGTGGTAACCTCAGAAGACTGCATATATCTAATTTCTTCATTCTATCCTGTTTTCACATATTAGATTTTTTCCCATATATTTAGAAGGCTTAGTCGTCCAATTCAGTAAGGTACACTTTTATTATAAGAATATGAAAAATACAGACATGTTAGATTTTTTAAAGACAAATTCTAAGCTGTATCTTGACTCTAGATACCACCAACATTATTGAAGATCATCCTTAACTGGAATTATTTCTGGTAGTGATTGGGTTTTCTGGTGGTGATTTAGGTAGATTTATGCAGTAGTGTGTAATTTATGGATTACTGTGAATAATTTTAATGTAAGCATTTGAATAATGAACACTGCATTATGCCCAGAACATATAGGACAAAAAAATAACAACTCTCTTGAGCTTTTTAGAATCCCTGATGCTTCAAAGTGTGGTATAAAGCAGTATTCATGACTCTTTCTTTCCTAAAAGGATGGCAGCTGTGTTTTCTATCTTGTGATGTATTCATAAGATTGTATGTATTCTTAAGATTACCATACAGAAAAGAGCAAGAATGTATTTAGATCCCATGTAGAGTTTCTTTTTTTTTTTGAGACAAGAGTCTCGCTTTGTTGTCCAGGCTAGAGTGAGTGCCGTGGCATCAGCCTAGCTCCTGGGCTCGAGCGATCCTTCTGCCTCAGCCTCCCGAGTAGCTGGGACTACAGGCATGCGCCACCATGCCCGGCTAATTTTTTATATACATATCAGTTGGCCAATTAGTTTCTTTCTATTTATAGTAGAGACGGGGTCTCGCTCTTGCTCAGGCTGGTTTTGAACTCCTGACCTTAAACAATCCGCCCGCCTCGGCCTCCCAGAGAGCTAGGATTACAGGCGTGAGCCACTGCGCCCGGCCCCATGTAGAGTTTATATGGCCCATTTTTTTGGGCAAAAACCCAAAAAACAGAACAGAGACAAAAATTTGTGAATAGATATTTTGATAAAAATAGTTCATAGTTAATATTGTACTTAGAAAACTGAAAACTAGAATCATTTCCAACATAATTGTAGTGTTTCTATTTAACTATGACAAGCAGAGAAAACACCTTAACAAGGATTTTGTTGATTGATTCTAAAGGTAAAATGCTGGATTTATTGGTCTATGATCCTAGAAAATGGCTTTTGTTATTTTAAGCCTTCTGTGAAGATCCTCTTTCCTCACCCAGTTGAGTAAATGTTCCTCCTTTGTCCTCTTAAAACACTTGGGGCAAATCATGCTCTTTTCCTCATTGAATTGAAATGGCGTGTTTACACTCTAGGCTTTTGTGATTGCAAGTTAAAGTCCCTGAAGGCAGACATCTGATTCTCTAGTCCTGTTAACAGTGCCAGCATTCTCCCAAACAGGGTCTAACATGTTCTTTAACAACCAGTTTTCAAACTTCTGTTGGTTTAGCCTTTAAATTTCTCTTCCATTAGTCTTGACAGACACTGGGAATCATCATCAACAGACCAACAGGGTTGCTCTACCTATGGCTACTATTAGGTGGGGAGGCAGATGTGTTCAGGCTCTAGAGATGATGACAACCTTCCTCCTATCCTAATTTCCAATGTAATTGAGGAATGCACACTGCCCTCATTTTGCACAGCATTGTGACTAAGAGCAAGAACCCTGGAGCCAGGCTGCCTGCTGCCTGTATTTGGATCTCTGCTCTGCCGTTTACTAGCTATGCCACTTGTTAGCTGTGTGACCTTGAGCAAGTTTCTTCACTTCTCTCTGCCTCAGTTTCCTCATCAATAAAATGGGGATAATAATAGAACCTATCTCATCTGTTTGCTATAAGGATGAAATTAAATGAGTAAATTACATATGCATGTGTGTGTGTGTGTCTAGCTGAGGACAGTGCCTGGCACAGAGCAAGTGCTACAAGTGTTAGTTGTAGTTATTACTATCATTACTATTCAGTAATAATAAATAATAAATCTCATATACAAATCCTATTGGTTCTGTTTCCCTGGAAAATCCTGACTAATATGGTACTATACAGGTGTTAGGCTTCTTTAAAATCCACAAATGAAGTGACACTAGACTTACATAACTGCTTTGTTCAAATAAGTAAATCTCCCTGAAATCTTAGAAGTGTTTTCAGAATATGCAAATTTCATTGAAGAAAATAGCCTTTCAAAGCAAGATTTCATGATTTTGGTTAAAAATAGCCCCTCATTGGGTTACCCTAATGCATTTATTCCTACCTTTCAACTTACATGTCTACACAAACAGAGGAAAACATGAAAAGCCACAACAGGAACAGAAACAAGAATTGCCTACTTACTTTTGCTGCATTCTAAGGACTTTGCATTCATTGCAAGGCCATGGACATGAGATGGAAAAAAGTGCTCTTCTGAGAATAGGTATGAAGATCTTTTGTTCCTCTCTCACTCCATGCCCTTGGCAGAAATAAAGATCTAGACCTACTCACAAGGCATTCATAAACCCCCTATGTATATGTACGACATTTTTAGGCAATAAAATGCTCTTATCCATCTCTTACCAATACATTGTTTTCTATATCCATGAAAAGGCTGACTCTGTGTAGAGACAGAATCAGCGATGACAAAAACAATAATTCAGATAATAACCATCAGCATCATCAATATTTACTGGACTATTGTGCAAGCAACTGTTCAAAGGGCTTTTCACTTTAGGTCTGGTTTATTTAAGCTTCACAATCACCTATGAGGCTGATAGTATTATTCCTACTGTATATGTGAGGAAACTGAGGCACAGAGCTCCATGGAAGACAAATTTCAGAGATATTTCCAAAATGCAGGGAGAAAGGATAATAAAATGATGACATCAAAGCCAATAGGTATGAAAATCAGGAAACGTACCTCCAACCAACCATAGAATGGAAGTCATTCAGAGGAACAAATGAGAACTGGAATGAAGTGACAACCTTTCTGAGACGAGGAATGGACTGAGCCCGCATAGCTCTCCACTAAGGAAGGAGAAGTAGGGGAACAGAGTCTCTAGAGTCAGGTTTTCCAGATGCAAGTTCTTCCTCTACCACAGCTGTGTGTCCTTGGGCAAGTTAAAGTTACTTAACCCAGCTAAGCCTCAGTTTCTTCATTCATAAAATGCAGGTGATGACTATATTATGTTCTTTGTGAGGACTGAGTATTACGTTACATGTAAAAGAGCACACAAAACCGACACATGGTAAGTGTGCAATAAATGATAGCCATTATTATTGAATGATGATAAAAAGGGGTGGAGAATTCATGCTTAAGTAATTTGAGAGGTTCTTATTGATTGCATATCTTGATTATGGGTCTTCACATAATCTTTAACACGCTAATCCAGATTTTAAATCTTCAAGAGGGAGATTCCCTGATGCATTTGAGCAGTGAGCCCCATTTTTCCTCCATGGAATACAAATAATGTCTCATGAGACACTGGTGTTACACAAATCACAGTCTAGGAAACGTTCTTTATTTCACACACTTTGTACACAAGAATAGAAAAACAGGTAAGAAAATGTCTTTCATTGATCACCTGTGCTGCAAGCAAGTAACCATCAAACAGCTCTTTAGCTTTACAAAGCATTATGGGTACATTTCTTTCTCCATTGTGTAAGTCATGGCACGCAAACCTTATGACCACTGTCTCTTGTCAACATCGTCACCTTTAACGCTGAAAGTTTTCTCAGCACTTTTCCAGAGTGCTACCAAAAATGAGTTAAAATTGGCATAGCTCCAGTTAGCTTGGAAATTTATTTTATCAGACCATAAATCCTTCAGAGTGTTTGTATTCCATTGTCTGTTATAATGTTATAAGGACACTATTATGTTGGGTGTTAGAATTAAATTTCTCTACTGTGCCTTACTGTGGCGTTAAAGTGATGTTGAATTAATATCAAAAGAACACACTATTTAGAAGTTTTGTGTCTCCCCAACCCAGAACTGCTGGTAGATTATAGTGATCAGTTTTTGTTTTATTTAGTCTTATGTAGGAAAGCTATCCTACATAGCTTTCCAGAACTGGGCATGGGTTTATTTAGAGAGGTTAACTAGCTTCTGTAGAAATTATACCCATTGTACCCCATTACTACTAAGCTGGGTTAAGGAAATATGATTAGAAATAAAAATCTCCTGCCAAACCAGTGAATCCTCTCCATAGAAATGTAGAAAAGAACAGAACAGTTTTATTATTGAATAAGCATTAAATCAAACTGTGATGCACATCACAGGCAATCTGCTAAGGAGATTGTAAAGAGAGAAAGAAATCTCACCCTTTTATATAGCCAAGTAGATATAATTTATTACATAATTGTCTTTTTCAAAAGAAAAAAATAAAACTTCTTGAGTCTTTATGACAAGTAGGCAGTTACATCACAGAGCCAAGCGCCCAGGCTGAGATTCTACAGGGTTAGGAAGACAAGACAACCTTCATCCTCCTAGCCAAAGAAATGTCTCTGAAGCCTCAAGAAACACATTTCTGGGATGCAGAACTGGCAAGAGGCTATGTAAGCTTTTAGAAAGATTTATATACATCTTAAAGAGACAGAGAAAGCATTTAAAATTTCAAGTTTCCTAAAGAGAGAGGAGTATTCTTTCCCTTTTGACACCAGGGAAGATTTTAAATTAAGTGTTTTCTTATAAGATCTGTTTTTACCCTTACAATTTCCCTCTTTTGTTACTATTTTATAGTCATAGTATAGTTTTTTAATTATTCACATTGTTGTTTCTATTTTTTCTGGCTAGTTTGAAGTTGTCTAAATATCCAACAAGTCCATAGTAAAATACAGACCCAAGCAATTATCAGAATTAGGATAGATGAATTAAAAAATTCAATACATTAGTTTACTTGGAGGTATAACTTTTTTTTTTTTTTTGAGACAAAGTCTTGCTTTGTTGCACAGGCTAGAGTGAGTGCCTTGGCGTCAGCCTACCTCACAGCAACCTCAAACTCCTGGGCTCAAGCGATCCTCCTGCCTCAGCCTCCCGAGTAGCTAGGACTGACTACAGGCATGCGCCACTATGCCCGGCTATTTTTTCCTATATATATTAGTTGGCCAATTTCTTTCTATTTATAGTAGAGACAGGGTCTCGCTCTTGCTTAGGCTGGTTTCGAACTCCTGACCTTGAGCAATCCGTCCACCTCAGCCTCCCAGAGTGCTAGGATTACAGGCGTGAGCCACCGTGCCCGTCCAGGAGGTATAACTTTTAATATTATACTAATGGTATGATTTTCCATGTAGAATTCTTAATTCTTGTTTAGTAATGTGTAAAGATTATCACACATTAAATTCACAAACCATTTTAAAGGCTTCTGCTTGTGCATTCAAATGTTTAACTATTTGAGAATTATTTTGTAGTTTCTTATTAAATCTTGCCCAATTTAAGCCTAAGGAGTAGCTTAAATCTATAATCTGATCATCTAAAATTTTTCTGGTAAGATCCTCCAAGTTTTTCCTGGATTTATCACCTAAGTAATACAATGTTTACATGTCAAAAGGCCTTGCAGTAATTATTCCATCTTCACAAATTTTTCCCAGATGTAAAAACAAAGAGAGCCAAGGCCATTATCTAGTATGAAGGTCTTATTATAAGGTATCTATTAAAGGGTACAGATTGAACTTTCAGTGTTTAATGTATGATGAGTTGTCTTGAGGACAAACCCTAGCTAAGGGCCATTTTTTGCATCAGTCCAATCAATAGTTGTGTTATTATAACAGTCAATTAAATCTCCATGAATAATAGACATTCACCTTTGTTTACTGTCTATACTGGGACTACTGGTGAGAACTTGCATTATGGACAAATTGAGACATAGCTGAAAAACTATGTTCTTTCTTAGAAAGCTTACATTCCAATGGGATTTTCTTTCTCTTTATTTTATTGTCTCAAACATCAGCTCAACAAATTTCATTCCTGTTCAATCACAGTGTGCTCTGTGGACCACATTTTCAGAAGCAAAGCTCAGGGACACTGCTCCCTTAAGACTTCAAAAACTGAATCATTGGATGATGGTATTAGGATAAACAACGGCATGGTTATGGTTGGCTGCAAATATCATAAATCAACATTATTAACTTCAGTGACAAAGAGATTTGTTGGAAGAGCATAGGATAGCTCACAGAGCTGCAAGAGCACTGGAGATCCAGGGTTGAAAGCTAGGCAGGAAACAAAAAGGTAGGCAGTTGAGAGTGCAGCCTAATTTCCACTCAGGGAGAATTTGGCCAGAATGCTGGAGCAGGGAATTTTCTGCCCCCTTGATTCTGCTAATGCTGCCCCTTCACACATTATTTCTTTTGGGATCAAAATTCTAATCAGAAATGTCTGAATAGTTGAGCCACCCTCTAGTAATGTCAGCTTCATTGGGACAAGAAGGTAAAGGGAGGGAAACAGCTGTCCCATTTTGTTTCTGATGTAAAAGACATTACTCTGCCTCTAACTATTTTGATATTTCTGTCAAATGATGCTCACTCTGGGCACACACTACTCTAACATATGTTTTACATATATTAACTTGTTTATTTTTATAAAAACACTGTGTGACAGATATTATTCTTTTTGTTTGTGCCATAATCACACAGTAAATGGTAGAAATAGAATCTCAAGCTAGGCACTCACGCTGTAGAATGTGTGCTCTTCTCTATCTGCTCAGCCTTAAAAAAGACAAGTTAGAAAAAAAAATAAAGGAAAAAAGACCGAAAAAGAGAAAACAATGAATCAGCAAATAAATCAACAATCAAACATTTGTTTTACATGACAATAAAATATGCACATTTCTATTTTTCTCTACATTTTTATATTGTAAATTTATGTACTTTTTAGGCTTAAAATTTTGTTATAATGTTAGACTTAGAGATTTGCAAAGATGGTACAGTTTCCAAATATAGTCTTCACCCAGCTTTCCCTAAGGTTAATACCTTATATAACCATGGTACAAAGAGAAAAACAAAGAAATTAACATCGAGACATTATTATTAACAAATGATGGACTTTAAATATTTTCCCAGTTTTTCCATGAATGCCCTTTCTCTGTTCAAGATTTAATCCGGGATCCCACATTGTGTTTACTTATCATGTCTCTAATCCCCTCCAATCAATGACAATTTCTTTGTCTTTCTTTGACTTTTAACATTTAGAAGGGTTAATGGTCAGGTATTTTGTAAATCATCCTTCAATTTGAATTTGTCCAATGTTTTCTCATGATTAGATCGAGATTGTGAATTTTTTAATGTATTCTGTTGGGGGTACATAATATTGCTATGCCATATTATTAATGATGTTAACATTGATCATTCAGTTAAGGCGAATGTATGTTTATATTTGAATTATATTTTTCTTTACTTTTTAATAGGTTGCTAAGTTAATATTTTTGTTTGAAACTTTAGTTGGATTAACATTTACAATATCTAGTAAATTTTATTCATTTTTTGCTAGGTTTTACTATATTGCAAAATTTCCCACTTGTATAATTCTTGGACTACACATAATGCCTTTTGGCTTTCAGCATCTAAGATTCTGTGATTTAGAACATAATCAGTTCCTTAAACTACACACAGCTAAATATTCCATCTGAATATATAATAAGCTAAATGAAAGATGAGTGGTCTACTATGTCCATGTTTTGGAGTAGACTCCATAGCCAAAGGCAATCCTTACTGATACAAAATGTACTGCCACACTAGGGAGTTCGTGAATTAGAGTCAATACTGTCGGTATTCAGGCCATTTCTTTTGTTGTTTTTGAAAGCTACATTTGTTAGTAAGACCTTCAGGCCAATTTGGCTATTAGCCTAGGTTTTATGATACTGCTTATTTGAAACAATCCTGCATTTGTAAAATTGTACATTTGTCTTTGGATATGAGCAAAACATGTGCCAAAATAGTGATGTAGACAAACTATTGTTAAAGAAAACCATTTAGCAATTAATTGTCCCTGTGTAAGCCATGATCTTTTGTAATTTGTATGTTTTATTTATAACAGAAGTGCATATTTTTAAAAATTATGATTTTATACTTTTGTAATATAAATCTGTAAATTCTCCTAAATTTTTTGCATCCTTAGATTGCATGTTTGTGTGTGTTTGTTACCTCTTCAAAATAAATGGTAACATCTGCTCCAGACCTCCAACAGATAGTAAAAATTGTTAATGTTTGTTTAAATTATTTGTTCACAAAATTAAATTTAGATGGGTGATAATAGAGATGTGGGTCAGGGTAGGAAAAGAATAAAATTACATACTAATAATAAGCCAGTGTTTCATGTGCTACCATCCTGGCAATGCTCTTAGATTTATCAACTTGGAATATGGTAATACTTGTTATTAAGCATCTTATTCTGTGTACTTTGTTTATGCAAAAAGATTTTAACATTTAAAAAGTCATCATCTACTTAACCATTTAGCCACCTAATCGTTAGTTTTTATCTCACTACTTAGGCATTTTAAAAAGCTTTTAGTAATCTTAGTATTAAATTTAAGTTTGTTATATTATTGTATATTATTGCTTTCAAACAACTTTATTAGTTTATCATTGCTAAGAGCTAATATGGGACCCTGGATTTTTTTTTTTTGAGACAGAGTCTCACTTTGTTGCCCAGGCTAGAGTGAGTGCCGTGGCGTCAGCCTGGCTCACAGCAACCTCAATCTCCGGGGCTCAGCGATCCTACTGCCTCAGCCTCCCGAGTAGCTGGGACTACAGGCATGCACCACCATGCCCGGCTAATTTTTTGTATATATATATTTTTTAGTTGGTCAATTAATTTATTTCTATTTTTGGTAGAGACGGGGTCTCGCTCAGGCTGGTTTCGAACTCCTGACCTTGAGCAATCCGCCCGCCTCGGCCTCCCAAAGTGCTAGGATTACAGGCGTGAGCCACCACGCCCGGCCTGGGACCCTGGATTTTAATCTTAACATTAATATATAAGAAATCATAAAAATTAAAAGTAGCTCAGTTTACTTCCCCAGATATACCACAAATGATATGTCTACAAGCCATGCATTCTTTCCTTTTCTTTTCTTTTTTTTTTTTTCAAGTGGGTGATGGGTAAGGGGGAGAAGCTATTTGGCAGCAGAGAGGAGGATGCAAAATTAGATATTTCTATAGATACTTGTTGGTTTCTGGACAGATTAAAGATCCCTTGCTCAGAAAAAGCATGCAGCAGTGGTATGCTGGAGATGGCTTGTACCATCTAGCAAGAACCAATTGTTACATCTAAGAAATTTTGTCAGCTATTTGTTAAATACACCCATTATTAAACATTAAATTATATAAACTCACAAATAAATAAATACTGTTAAAAATAAAGATAACAAAATCTCAAGACTCATCAGTTCCCAATTTTTTTATTGCATAGTATGGCTTTTTTTTTTTTATGAGGCAGGATCCCACTCTGTCACCCAGGCTAGAATGTAGTGGCGTCATCATAGCCCACTGCAGCATCAAATTCCTGGGCTTAAGCGGTTCTCCTGCCTCAGCCTCCCAAAGTGCTAGGGTTATAGTTGTGAGCCACC